GCACACTCGCATCGACATTTGCAAGAGCTTCGCTGATCGATGGCGGTTCCTTTTTCAACATGCGGCTGTCGCCCTAGCGCCGCGCACCTTCGTTTTAAACATTCGCAGGAGTTTCACGGACTGTCATGCTTTACCTTCTGGAAGTGGTGCTTTCGAACGACCAAGGATTGAGGGTGCGACAGGCACGTTGATTTGCGGTTTTTGAAGTCCCAGGAACGGTGTTTTGGCACGGCTCAGGATCGTCAAGACGCAACAGTCAAATTGATTCGTGGCGTCGGAGTCCCGAAAATTGTGTTTTGGCACGCTCTGGGTCTTCAAACGGCCGTCTCCCAACGAGACAGCTCCCTCAGTGGAGATGGCCCCTTTGCAAAGGCCTATGAAGAGGGAGCTTTGAGGGAGGGTTTGTTGCAAAATCGTTGACGAGTCTGGGGTTCACACTGGCCCTCCTGCTCCTCCTGATTCTCCTCCTCCTCCTCCTCCTCCTCCTCCTCCCCCTCCTCCTCCTCCTCTTCCTCGTCCTCCTCCTTCTCTCCCTAAACCATGTTGGTATATAGTCTCACTGTGTCACCCAGCCAGCCAATCCAGGGGGTCCCATCCTGCCTGCAAAGACAATCCCAAGTAGGCGCTGCTCTTCTAAACATGGACGCGCAGTCGTCGACGCTGCCAACATGCACGGCAGGAACGGGACGGGGCGCACGTCCCACGCGAAAGAACAAAGTGTCGCTCTCGCCTCGGCGCCGCGCTCACTTCATCTAGAGACTTGAGCTCCCCGCTTGGGCGCGGCGCACATACACTTTCGCACACAACTTCGTGGACGCGCGAGCGGACGAAAATGTCGTTCTCGCCACGGCTCCGCGCAGATTGCTCACTGTCGCCAATTGGGGCCGGGGGGGGCGCGCGAGCGGGCAACTTGTCGCCTCGCGTCCGTGCGCATTTTGCTCGGAGGTGGCTTTCCTGCGTGGGCGCGGCGCATCGGTCGCTCGCCGACTCGGATGAAAGCAACGGTGGCAGCGGGGTCACACGAGGGCGGGCGAAATGACGGCCTCGCCTCAGCGCCGCGCAATGTGTGAGCGAGAGTGGCAATGTTGTGTCAGCACGGCGCATGCTTCGTCGTCGCCGCGCCCATCGGAAGCTTTTCCGGTCCCGCCCCTGAGCGGTCCGCGCAGTTTTCCCTTCCCCGAATCGTCGGAAGCGGGGCGGCGCGCTAGCGCCTTCCGTTTGCAAGGTGGGAACGCGCTCCAATTCCAATACCAAGTTGCGCCACGCTTAACTGCTATGGTATTGGAGGCGAGGCGGGCGCGCGATGTCGGTCCGGCGGGACCAGCCCTACGAGGACAGCGCAGGCAAGAAGCCAGAACCCTTCGTCGTACGTGCAAGTACCGTCATCAACCGTTCCAGATGTGTATAGCCAGTGTGAGCGCACCATATTTCATTATACACGCATGCAAACATACAAACACACATACATCCATCCATCAATCCATCCATCAATCCATCCATCCATCCATCCATCCATCCATGCATCCATCCATCCATACATACATACACACATGCAAGCATGCATACATGCGTACATACATACGTACATATATATATATACATGTATACATGTATGCATGCATGCATGAATGCATGTATGCATGCATACATACCTACATACATCCATACATCCATACATCCATACATCCATACATCCATACATACATCCATCCATCCATCCATCCATCCATCCATCCATCCATCCATCCATCCATCCATCCATCCATCCATCCATCCATCCATACATACATACATACATACATACATACATACATACATACACACAGAAAAGACATGAATGGAAGGAAAGCGGAGGAATGAGGCAGCCAGAAGGCAGGACGGAGGAGACGGGATGATGGAGGACCAGGAGGCATGATAAGTAAGCATATTGAACTAGGGTGTGACGGGAAGGAGGCAGGATAGGTATGAGACAAGGAGGAACGGAGGAACGGAGGTTCCCCTCCTCCTCGTGGGTCTTTCCGAGAATCCTCGGCCCAGTTGCCAGCGTGCCTGGGTTGTGGGTCATAAGTCTTTTGGGGTTAGTTGGGATGTCGTGGAAGGGTCCTCAGGGGCTCTTTGGAGGCACGATTGAAGCCCCTTGGGGGCTGTGTTGAAGCCTCTTGGGGCGTTTTGGGGGGCTTTGGGCGGCCTCTTGGGGCCTTTGGGGGGCTCCTCGGAGCATCTCGGGGCGGGAAGCTTGACTTGTCGGTTCGGGCCACCTTGGGGGCCGTCCTTGGGCTCTCTCGGGCGACTCGTGGGCCCCCTGAGGCGACTCTTGGGCCGTCTTGGGGCTCTCCTGGGCTGCCTTGGGGCGCTCTTGGGGGCTGTTTGGGCTGTCTTGGGGCGGTCTTGGGAACTCCGCGGCCCGTCCTCAACGCCGTGAAGGCAGAAAAGCCGCAGACGCCAAACATGCACGCTCTCCTGGGGGAACAGAGCAAGTTTGGAGAGCTGGGCGCCTCTTGGGAGTGCTCTTGGAGGCCTCTCGGTGCGTCTTGCGCGTTCTCTTGGCGCGTCTTGGGGCCATCTTGGGCGCCTTGGAGCGGTTCTTCAACGATTCGGATCCCTCTTGGGCCATCGGGGTGGTTTTTTGGCCCCTACTGGCGCGTCTTGGAGGGGCCCAGGAGCCCTGCCACCCGCGTGGAGATCCAGAGTCTGCCCTGAAGGCCCCCGGCCCTGGGTCCTGGGTATGAATGTGTATGTTATGTGTATACATATATATATATATATATATATGCTGAGATGCATATATGTTTAAATATAGATATATAGATGTATGTAGAAAACATTGAATATGTGTAATTATCCGGAATCGGAGAGACGATCGCTAGAGTCAAAACAATAGGCGCAGGAACGGATAATGGGGTAGGAGTAGGGGGAGGGGTAAGAACCCGAATCGGAGAAACGATCGCCGATCGCAAGAGTCGGAAAAATAGGTGCAAGAATCGGAAGATAGAAAAACCGGAGCCGTGGGTGTATGAGCTGGAGTCGGAAACACGATCGCAAGCGTCACAAAGAGGAAGGCGCAGGAGCCGCAAGATAGAAGAACCCGAGTCGCAGGGGTAAGAGCGGGAGACGGAGAGACGATCGCAGGAGTCGGAGAGACGGTCGCAGGAGGCGATATGGTATGGGAGGAAGGGTGGGGATTTGCGGGGACCTTTGATCCGTCGACATGGCTAACTTGACTCCTCCTCCTGCCCCTCCTCCTTCCCGCCTCCTCCTCCGCATCCTCCTAGTCGCAGCATCATCATCATCATCATCATCATCATCATCATCATCATCATCATCATCATCATCATCATCATCATATGCCTTGTCCTCCCTCCGATTTCCTGCTGTCATGGTGTCTCTAACACGCATCGGTGCAGCTCTGACCCGCGAAAACACCAGCAGAGACACAGATGGCAACGATAGCGAGGCAGGGCAATTGGGAACGAAATCGAACTACAATCAATGTCAAGTCCACTCGAACAAGCGCGAACAAAAAGAAGGTCACATGGCTGGTTTGGAGATCCTGAACCCAGACATGTAGATACCCCCTTGGGGCCACGTTTTTACCTCACTCCCGCCAGCTTACCCTGGCCTTCCGCCGATTTCCGCAGGCGAACTAAGGTGATCTCGTTTTACTTCCGCTGGCTTCCAACGGCCGTTCGCCGCCTTACGCCGAGGAAAAGATGTCAACTCCCCTGGTCCCTCGAAGGCGAGGCCTTTTCTGGAGCGGTCCAATGTCCCGCCCGAACGAGCAAATCCGCTGCGGCGGCAGTGCCCCGACTGGGCAAGCAACTTGTCGCAGAGGAGGACGAGGATGCGCCGGAACAGCGAGGAGGGCGGTCCCTTTTCCGCAGTCCGCGAGCGGTACTAGTTTGTGAGGCGATCAGTCCTGAGTCAGATGCCCAGACATTCGACGTCCTGACTTTTCCATACGCGGTCCCCAGAAGTCTAGACCATCTCCCCTTCCCGCGCGCGGGGCCGGTGTTTCATCCTGAGCTGTTTTGTTGACAGTGCTGGGCCGGGGCCCGGTAAGGGCTTCCAGATGACGAAAACTTGAGAAAAACCTCCGTCCTGATCTTTTCAGGACGCCTTCTTTTTTTGCCTCAGTTCCTGATCTTGTCAGGACGCTGCATGTCTGGGTGCGCAAGAGGCACTTCCACGCTACCGCCGTGCCCTGCCCAAGCCAGTCCAGGCCCAGGCATAGCTCGTCTCTCCCTGGGCTGGACTCCCGAGCTTTTGGGGGCGGCGCGCGTGTCCACGAAGGAAAAGGGGGCGCGCACACAGCAGGGCACGTGTTCACCGCTCCACGGCGCGAGCAGGGGGGGGCGTAGGGAGAAGGACGATAACGACGACGACGACGACGGCGACGGCGATGGCGACGGCGACGGCGACGGCGACGGCGACGACGAAGAGAAAGGACGGCAAACGGGCCTCCAGGAGACGGAGGCGGAGAGGGAGGGGGGATATCATGAGACTATCATGCGCTGCAAAGGGGGGCGCTCGCGAACGCGGCCCAAGGGGAGGAGGGCACGACTTACACACTAGGCCTGTGCTAGCTGTAACAGCGTGCTGGCACGCGGAGGAGGAGGAGGAGGAGGAGGAGGACGAGGAGCATATGGCGAGAGAGAACAAGGTGGGGAACCGCACTCTATACACCGACGCGTTTTCCGGCCCTGCGCTGGAACTCGCACAAGAAAACGGATCCTGGTGTATACGGGATCCTGGTGTATACATTTTTCGCTGTTTCCCCGGGACATCGGGAAAAGAGTATACACCACACCACCCCAGCGTCGTCCCCGACCCTCAAGAAAGTCCTGGGATTGAAAAACCACCCGCCACTGGTAATGTAGATGCTCCAGTTGCCGACAAGGAGGAGAAGGCACTGCACAAAATCGCACGAGCGCCGCGCCGAGGCGTCGCCAGGAAAAAAGCGCGGCACTGGAGCAGTAGGCACCCGCGACCCGGATTGCCTCTCAGTCGAAGCAGCCGTCGAAGTCCTTCCTGTAGCGATCCTTGTCCAGCTTCCGCCCGATGACGGAACGAAGGAGGAAGAACGGCATAAGCATAAATTCCTCCCCCTCCTCCTCCTCCTCCTCCTCCGCACGGTTTTCTTGAATCCGCGCTGGACCCCCTTGCTGGATCGCGCGGATCGCGGCGGGGGCGGCGCAAGGGAGGCGTCGACCCGGGGGCTCGGCGCAGATCCAACAGAATCCTCCTCGCGGAGCTCCGACAGCTCATGTTTATGCCATCATGTCCCCCTGCGTGATGACCAGCTGCGTCTTGATGGGCTTCCCGGCAGGCCACTCCCCGCTGTCCAGGCAATGCCAAGGGGGGCACCACTAAGGGGGTCGCCACCTCCCTGTAGGAACAGGCCACGCTGGACTGCCTAGAAACCTTCAAGATACCCCAAGACGCCCAAAAACGTCCCAAGCCACGTCGATCCTCGATCCTCCTTCCACCTCCTCCTCCTCCTCCTCCTCCTCCTCCTTTTCCTCTTCCTCCTCCTCCTCCTCCTCCTCCCCTTCCTCCTCCTCCTCCTCCTCCTCCTCCTCCTCCGTTCCTTTTCCTTATACATAACTTCTCCCTGTCGCACCCCGAGGCCAGTTTTTGGGGCGGGCTGGGCGTTTCGCCTGAGACTTCCTCAAGACTTCCTCACCACTTAAGACTCTGAAGCTTTAAAATTGGCAACAGCTTCGCAGATGGAGGGCGGGTGATTTCAAAATGTGATCTCGCCTTTGCGCGGCGCACGCTTGTTTTAGACATTTGCAAGAGCTTCACGGATTGAGGGTGGGTCGTTTTCAAAATGTGGCTCTCGCCTTAGCGTGGGGCACATTCACATTGGTTCTTTATGGTATTAGTATAGAAATTGCAAGAGCTTCACGGATTGAGGGCGGGTCGTTTTCAAAATGAGGCTCTCACCTCACCGCGGCGCACATTCGGTGTAAAACGCTGCAAGAGCTTCACGGATTGAGGGCGAGTGGTTTCCAAAATTTGGCTCTCGCCTTAGCGCGGCGAACATTCGTTTCAAACTTGTTTAAATGTTACACGAGCTTCACGGATTGAGGGCGGGTGATCTCGAAATGTGGCTCTCGCCTTTGCGCGGCTCACATTCGTATTAAACAGTGCAAGAGTTCCACGGATTGAGGGCGGTTCCTTTTCAAAATGCGGCTCTCGCCTTAGCGCGGCGCACATTCATTCGTGTTAAGCATTTGCAACACTTTCAAGGAATTTCATCATCAACGTTCCAGAAATTGCGTGTTGGAAGGATTCAGGACTACGCGGGCGCAGCAGTCGCATCCATTCGCTGCGTCGAAATCCTAGGAATAGCGTTTTGGCACGGTTCGTTCTGGATCGCCAAAACGCAACAATCAGGTTGATCCGTGGCGTTCGAATCCCGAGAACAATGTTTTAGCATGTTTCAGGGTCTTCAAACGGGTGTCTTCCAACGGGGCAGTTCCACCAATGGAAATGAACCGTTGTAGGGGCCTGTGAAGAGGGACCTTGGAGGGAGGGTTTACTCCAACATCGTTGATGACACTTGGGTTTACACTGGACTTCCTCCTCCTCCTCTTCCTCGACTTTCCCTACTCGTCCTCCTTTCCCCCCTCCCCCTCGACGCGCGATTTCCAGAAGGAGGTGGTGAACTCCCTTCAACCAGGCACTTCTGTTCAACGTGTCGCGGCGGCGGCCTCGGCGCCCCACCGCGCCCTGCAGGCGGATAGCGCGTCGCGCGTTCCCCCCCAGCAGGAGGCCCGGGAAAAGCTTGGGACGTGAGCGCTTGGGGACCAACGCTTGGGGGGCGGAGGGAAAAGGAGGAGGAGAAGGAGGAGGAAGAGGAGGAGGAGGAAGAGGAGGAGCAGGAAGAGGAGGAGGAAGACGAGGAGGAGGAGGACGACGAGAAGGAGCAGGAGGAGGAGGAGGCGGAGGAGGAGGAGGAGGAGTCAGGAGGCCCGGCAACGCTTGGGATGCGGTTGCCGTGTCGCGCCGAAGCGAGGTGGGCCAGCACCGGCGGCACGACAAGCCGAGCGCAAAAGCTCTCGGCCGCGAGCGCGCCCGCGCCACGTATGGCATCCGACGCGTTGGCGGGCGTCGGAGCGGAGCTGGAGCCCAAAGGCTGCCCCATCGAGCGAAGCGCGGGCAGAAATCGGAGCCGGGTGAACTGGAAGCAGTAGGGTTCGGTCGAGCATGTTCTCCTGCAGGCGCATCACGATGCGCAGGCCGTTGGGATCTGGCCAGCGAGCGAGGGAATGTGCCGACCCAACGCTTGCAGCTATCGCTGCCGCAATCGAGAGAGCCAGGCGAAGCGGCAGCACGCGAGGGGGCTCCACTGGATGAGCTGGCTACCGATGCAGCCGTCGGGCGAGAGCGAAGTCGAACGAGCTCTCATTCGCTGGGCTCCAACTTTGTGTCCAGGGCTGCTCTGGCGGCTGACGTGATGATATTGCCCCTGTTTGTCTCAACCGCGATGAGCCTTGGCATTGAGCTTATGCATGCTCTGGTCGGTTGTCTGGATAGCACTCCGCACGTGCTGGATATCTTGGGCCACGTGCTGCCTTCCGATGCGCAGCGTGACGAACTGGCAGACGCACGCAGGGAACCTGGACTAGCTGACGCACGTGTTCTACGTCGGCGCTGGACTCTCGCGGCGGGCATATCTGAATGCCGCGGGTCGTGGGGGGTGTTTCTGGTAATCTTGCCAGGGAAGCCACCCCTGCGCTGGTGGTGCCCCAAACGTTCGGGAAACGGATTGGCAAAAAAGCTAATCGCTGGTTCTCGGGCGTCTATAACTGACCACGGGCGATACTAATCACCTGGGGATAATAAAGTTCGGGGGTCTAGCAGGCATACTAAAGGATTCCCGGTGAAGGTAAGCTGTGATGATGCTGATGATAACGATGATCATGATGATGGTGATCCTGGGCGCTCGGCACACGACTGACTCGAGATCTCTGGCGCTGGCGCTTGGGCAAACTGAACTGGTGAGAACCCCACAGCCCTGCCACACGCTCGTGATTGCGGAAGCTGATGTGGTGAGACCACCAAGGCCATTCTCAGCGATTTTGATGCTGCTGCTAGTCAACATGAGATGATAGCAACTTCGATTCGCAACTCCCCCCGTGGATTCTAATGTTCGGCCTCCGCGCCCTTCTCCACCATTAAATCCTGTTGAACGGGGATGATAGAACTAGAGGGGGTTAAGGGGGGGGTATGTTGTATTATCGCCCGTGGTCCGCTGGCCCTTCACAACGCTTAGCCTTGAGCACACATGGTCACGGAAGGAAGAGGAGGAGGAGGACGAGGAGGAGGAGGAGGAGGAGGAGGAGGAAGAGGAGGGGAAGGAGGAGGAGGAGGAGAAAGAGGAGGGGAAGGAGGAGCAGGAAGAGGACCGCAATGCTGATCCCCCCTTGGCACTGCCCGCGCTGTAGGTCAGCTCTGGCATGTCGTGCACCCCCTGCAGGATGTAGAGGGCAGGCCCGCCGTCCTCGAGGGGCAGCGCGGGGGGGGCAGCCAGCTCGGGGGGAGGAGGCGTCGACCTGGGGTCGGGGACACATCTAAAGGGGCCCCAGACCCACACAAACAAATACACACCAATAACCATATCCCCCATCTGCTCCCCTATTTTGGGGGTGTTCGTCTTCCCCCCCACTGCCCATGGTTTCCGATAATTTCTGGGGAATCGACGATTCATTGTGTCTGTGTGTTTCTTCCCCTCCTGAACATCGCCAGCACGGTGAGGGCATTGGATGTGGAACCGTTGGGTAAGGAATCTTGGGTCTGGAAGCCAGCGGGACACCAACTGAGGCTTGGCCACAGACATCACCGCCGCTCTCGTCGGATAAGGAACCCTCCAAGGTCTGAAACCTCTTGGGCCCATTCCTTGACGAACGCCCTCGCCGCAGGTCAGCGAGAGGCTCTCGACAGCGAATCCGCCTGGTCCAGGGCGGGAACAGGCTCTCGTCGCCTCTCGGCGATGAATGTAGGGCGACGATATCTATACATATCCACTGCTCCCGGCCAGGCCAATCCTGGGCCCAAGAGCTGTGTGTACGCCCTCCTGGCTTGGCCAGGGAGGCATATACACCGCTCCTGGGCCCAGGATGGGCCTGGCCAGGAGCAGTGGTAATGCATAGATCTCGTCGCCCTAGAATGGGCGACTGGAGGTCGATGCATTCCACCATGAGCCTATCCCCCACCGACGTTATCCCTTGGCGTTTGGGCCATTACTCGGCGCTCCTGTGGCCGCTCGGGACGATCCTGGCACCTCTGGGGAGCCGGCGGCGAGGCGCAGCCGCTGGAAGGCACCCCCAGGGCTGGAAAGCGGCCGAGAACTGACGAAAACGACTAGAAACCCTCAACTTCTAACCGCCTGCTGAGCTCATCAAACCCCCGTTGCCCCGGAGTCCTGCTCTACCGCGAGCACCCCCTTGTAGCGGTACAGGTCCACGCTTCGCTGCTCCAGGATCGAGCCGAGGAAGATCTGGAACTTGTGCATGTTGAGGGCGCTTCCCGCCCTTCAGGAGGCAATGCTCCTTCTCCTCCTCCACCTCCTCCCGGTCCTCCTCCTCCTCCTCCTCCTCCTCATCGACCATTATGATCATCATGATCATCATGATCATCATCATCATAATCCTCATCATCATCATCATCATCATCATCATCATCATCATCATCATCATCACTACCATCATGATCATCATCATCATCATCATCATCCTCATCATCATCATCATAATCAGTAGCATCATCAACATCATCATCATTGATAATACTACCGTCATCATCAACATCATCATCATCGTCATCATCATCATCCTCATCATCATTATCAGCATCATCACTATCATCCTCCTCGTCATCATCATTAGCATCAGCATCAGCATCAGCATCAGCCTCATCTTCATCCTCATCCTCCTCCTCCTCCTGATCATCATCACCATCATCATCACCTGAATCATCAACATCGTCGTCATCGTCAACGCCGTCGTCGTCTGCATCACCATCATCAACAATAACATAATCAGCATGAGTTCCAGCATCATACACATCATCATGATGAACATCATCACCACCATCAGAAGCATCATCATCAGCATCATCAACGTCACCGTCATCGTCATCGTCACAATTCTCATCAGCATCGTAATCATCATCATCAGCATCATCATCATCATCATAATCACCATCTGAATCATTAACATCGCCATCAGCAGCATTATCAACATCCTGACCATCGTCATTATCATAAAATAAATGACAGTCATCAGCATCATCATCATCGTCATCATCATCATAATCATCATCAGCATACTCAGAATCATCATCCTCGTCGTCGTCTTAAACGCATTTGTCGCCATCATCATCAGCACCATCATCCTCATCATCATCATCCTCATCATCATCATCAGCATCATCATCATCGTCGTCGTCGTGATCGTCATCTTTATCGTCAACAGCATCACCAGCATCATTTTCAGAAGCAGCATCAGCAGGAGCATCAATAGTATCATAATCAGAATCAGCATCAGCAGCATCAGTACCAGCATCAGCACAAGCACAAGCATCAGCAGCATCATTACCATCTGTACCATCACCATCATCATAAAAATCAGCATCACCATCACCATCACCATCACCATCATCATCATCATCACCATCATCATCATCATCATCATCATCATAATCAGCATCATAATCAGCATCAGCATCATCATCATCCTCATCCTCATCCTCATCCTCATCCTCATCCTCCTCATCATCATCATCATCATCATCACCACCATCATCATCATCATCATCATCATCATCATCATCATCATCAACATCATCATCATCATCATCATCATCATCATCATCATCATCATCATCATCATCATCATCATCATTATCATCATCATCATCCACACCATTTGTGCTCCCTTCGTTTCCCCGTTTATGCTTTCTTCACACACGCTTCGGTCGGTACAGCTTAGCCATGCTTCTCCCCCCTCCTCAACCTCCTCCTCTTCCTCCTCCTCCTCCTCACGCAGTGGACAAAATATTGACAACTTCCGTCCGCGCAGTGCGACTATGGAGAGACGGCACCCGAAGTGCGGCGAGGAGGAGGAGACTCTTTGCCAACGCACCTGGCGCTGCCATTGTAGCAGGAGCCATCCTGACTGTGATGCCACGGACAGATGGATCCCTCGAGCCTGAGCCTCGTTTGAGTATGAGCCCGCCTTGTGGCCCGCACCAACGTAGGTTCAGGTCGGGCATGTCCCCCTACAGGCCGATTTTGAAGGGAAAATCAAAAATAATCAAAACAACATCGAAACACATAACACAACAAACTGCTACAAAAAACGTCCCCATACGATTGTTCGACTATGTTTGGACATTCCTCCTGTAGAGGGACAGGCCCGACTTAAACGTAGGTGTGGCTCCTCTGCCGTGGTCACTAGAGCAGCCGCCCCCGGGGGAAGGCGGCGGCGAGCCCAGGGGGGAAGTGAGAAAGGGCGGGCCGTCTCCGAAGGCTCGGAAGCCCCCTGGCCGTATGAGAAGTTGTCGGGCCCTTCCCCGATGACGCAGACAACTTCTCAGGGGGCCCGGGGCGCTTCTGCGAAGCCACGCAGCCTTCTGAGAAGGCCTTGTCCTTTCTCACTTCCCCCCCCTCGCTCGCCGCCGAGGAAAGGGCCTCTGCATCGGGCGGTTCGGGCGGGAACGTCCTAGGCGTGGCGCTGCCCGAGGAAGACCCTGTGCCTCGCTCGGAGCTCCAGGCCTTCGCCACTGTTCTTGAGGCCGCCACAGGGCTCGTCCACTCTTGGGTGGCCATCTGTGAGCCCTGCCCCCGCCTCCCACGATTTCTGACGAGGGGTGGGGGTTGACTCCGCGTGGGAGAACCCGAACGAAGTGGACCCCCACCTCCCCTTAGAAATCGTGGGGGGCGGGGGGCAGGGTTCGCACGTGACCATCGAATTTTGTGACGGATCACGAACCGCTCTGGGTGGGCTGGAGTTGTGGATGCCATGGCAATGGACACTCGAACAATCCTATCATTGAATTACGGATGTGTATACAATGTGTAAAACATGTTCTAAACATGTGTTTACATGTTTAAAACATGTTTGATACATCTTTTGGACACCTGGATACTATTTGGCAGCACGTTTCCTCTCCATTCGTAGACTTCCACAAGGCTGGAGGCGGGGGCGACCTTGGAAGCTGAAGAGAAGGAACAACCATTTTTGGTTGCGTATTTGTTGCGCCTTGGACGCTCGAAGTCCTGCACAAATGGCCGTCGAGCGGACCCTGACCCATGCTGCGGCCGACACTCTCGGCCTCGCATAGCACGAGCGATTTCTCGCCAACGGTAATCAATTGGCTGACGAGGCCGCTGGCGAGGAGACCGAGAGATCCCGGCAATTGTCGGCCACCCATGATCCGCATATGGACGCTTGGCGTCACAGCAGTCGTCGTTCGACGAAGAGCTTGAAGGGCGCTCGCTAATGCCGCCGCCGCCGACCCCAACAGGGTCAATTCGTCAGCGGAAGCTGACCGCCCCAGGAGAGGCTCTAAGGTGGAGGTCGCTGCCAGGATTTGGGGAACGAAAAACGACACAAACATAAAGACTCGGAGGTCCGAACGGGTTTCTTGGATCCGCGCTGGGCCCCTTTCCTGGCGCGCGGAGCGCGCCAGGGGCGGCGCCGGAGGCGCCGCCAGGGGGCCCCAGCGCCGATACGAGAAACCCGCTGAATTATGTTTATGTCATTGTTCGTTCCCCTGGGGATGGGTACTCAAAATTGCCCCTCCGGTGGGCCAGGCATTCTGCTGCCAGACGCACGGCATGACTTCCCAGAAGCGCCAGCCTTTTGGAGGCCTCGGGCTCCGCGGGCGGGGATCCCCTCGGCCTTGCCCCAGGACTTCCCAGGGACATTCTCGTTGCGGCCCGCGTTCCCGCTCTCGTGGTCGATGTTGCTCTGGACTGTGTTGCTCCCATCGTATTTCAAGACCACACTCCAAAAATAATTCGTGCCCCGCGGCTGTTGACGGCCGAGAGTGAGCTGGCGAGTGCAAGTGAGCAGCTCGCAAAAAAAGGCTAGAATAGCTGGCTGGAACTCGTAAGCGCCTGGGAACAATTGTGCTGGCCGACCGAGGGCAATGTGTGACCTCGTGCATGCTCATGTGGCTGGCGCCTCCATCTCTCAAGCTGCCAGCCAGCTACGTGCGGATTCCCAGGCTTCGCCTCGCGCAGCCAAGTCTGAGACGGTGCATGTCTGACCCACATCCTGGGCATCGCTCGGACGTCCACTCCCTGCGTTTTTGTTTCGGTTTCGTGCGTGGCTTTTTCGCCAAAGGATCGAGGATCCTCCTCGATGGTCCTCGCCGAAGGAACAATCATTTAGGGCTCCCAACTTGGCGCTTCGCGCTCAGCGAAGCGCGAAAAACTTCGCGCTCTCGCGCCGCCCCCACAAAGGGAGAAAAGGAAGACGAGGAGGAGGGGGAGGAGGAACGAAGACTGCGGAGCGCGAAGCGCGAATAGCTTCGCGCCCTCGTGGAAGCCCTTGACAATGCACACGTCCGAGCGATGCCAGGGAAGCGCCCCAGCTTCACAGCGCCCTCCGCGGCCCCGAGGAGCGGGACGCCAGGACGAGCTGGCGACGGCTCCATGTCGGGCGCCCTCCGCGCCGAAGAGGTTGCAGGAGGTATCGATATCGCGGGCCTCAGCGGTCGAGGGTCGGGCGCCCGCCCAGCCCCCTCTTCAGTGGAGGGACGCGACCTCGCCGAGGGGCCTCACGACGTCGAACGCCTCGCCCTCGAGGTCCCCGCAGGGGTTGCAGGAGGTGGGGCGTGCCCGCTGTCTGCGGGGGCACGGCGTGTGACTGGCAGCTCGGCCTCCTCTCGTTCTTTCGTTTCGCTCCTGGGCCTCTCTCCAGCACGTAGTGCTTAGCAGGACATCCACCAAAAAGCAGTCCTGCGCCTCCTCATCATCGTCGTCGCCATCCTGCGCATCATCATGATGATCATCATCATCATCATCATCATCATCATCATCATCATCATCATCTGCATCCTCATCATCAGCAGCAGCAGCACCATCACCACCACCACCATCATCACAGTCCTAGGTATCCTGCTCATCCTAAGTACTATCACCATCATCGTTATCGTTATCATCAGCAGCATCACCGTCAGCATCACCAGCAACATCATCAGCAGCATCACCGTCATCATGAGCATCATCGCCAGCAACAGCAACAGCAACAGCAGCAACAGCAACAGCAGCAACAACATCATCATTACCATTCGCATCATCAGCATTATCGTCATCAACGTTATCATCACCATCACCAAAAACAGCATCATCATCATCAGCATCATCATCATCATCATCATCATCATTATCATCATCATGATCATCATCATGACATCATCATCATCGTCGTCATCAGCATCCACAGCATCATCACACCATCATTATAATCATAGTAACCCTGCTTGTCCTCCATCCACTTCCCCCCGTCATGCGGTTTGAAGCACGTATCGGTGAAACATAGGCCCCCCCTATGTGCCCCTCCTCCTCCTCCTCCTCCTCCTCATCCTTTGTCTCCTCCTCCTCATCAGCATCAACAGCCTCATCATCATCATCATCATCATCATCATCAGCATCATCATCATCAACAACACCATCATCGCCATCATTAACATAATCAGCATCATCATCACCACCACCACCAGCCTCTCTCCGCTCCCCCCCCCATACTATCTTCAAATACGCCTCGATCCAGCTTTAACTCCTCGTATCTCTCCGTCATTATCCTCCGCCACCTCACCATCATCATCATCCTCATCAGCATGATCATCACCACCACCTCAATCATCATCATCACCACCACCATCATCATCACCACCATCATCATCACCATCGGATCAGCATCATCATCACCATTATCATCACCATCAACGTCATCACCATCATATAATCAACATCATCATCATCATCATCATCATCATCATCAGGATCAGCATCATCATCATCATCAGCATCGTGATCATCACCATCATCACCTTTGTCATCCTGACCACCAACAACAGCAACGTCATCATCATCGTTATCATCTACTTTGCCCCCCCATCCGTTTCCTCCCTTCATACGTCTTCGCACACGCCTCGGTGCACTTTTATCACTCCGCCTCCTCCTCCTCCTCCTCGTCCTCGTCCTCATCCTCCTCCTCCTCCTCCTCCTCGTCCTCCTTCTGCTCCTCCTCCTCGTCCTTGTCTCCCCTCTTTGGAGAAACGAGCATCAACGGCATGAACACAAATTTTCGGAGGCCTTCGTGGTCAACCTGGATCGGCGCTTGGCTCGCATGGCGGAGCCCCCGGCGACGTCCCCAGCGCGCTCCGCACGCCAGGGAGGGGAGTACAGCGCCGATCCAAGCAATCCGGGCGGACCGCCGAAAGCTTAACATCGGGATCTTTTACGTAGCGTGTCGCGGCGGCGGCCCAGACGACACGCTATGTCTTGCGAAAGGCAAGCTTGTCGCTCCGCTCCGTTGGGGCGGGAGGCCAGGAGCACCTCGGCACGTCTGGGGACCAGACCGTGGATAGCGTGCCGCAGCGACGCGCGGTGGGCCGGAGCCGGCGGCGCGAAACGCTGGACCCAAACTCCTGACCGTATGCTCTCGCCGCTGTCCTTCTTCGGCCCTGTGCCATGAAGGAAAGACGGGCTCCCGAGGCAAGCGGGTCCTGGACCACTGGACCCCCGACGCAGTGACTTTGCTCATGACGTCGACCCCCGAAGGTCTCGAGGCATTCTCCGCGACCGGCTTCTCTCATCCTGACAAACTGCTTGACGGCCTCGAGGCCCGGCCAGGGCCTCCAGAGGCCGACAACGGCTCCGAGGGGTTCCCGAAAAAAAGAGGCAGAACCTTTCCGCCGCGATTCTGAAAGGGGCCTTGGGACACACAAATAAACAGACACACGTGGCAGGATTCCCCGTATGTTCCAATATGTTCTGGCTTCTGTTGCCTTCCCCCCCGCTTCCCGTACCTTCCCATATTTTCTGGGGAATCGACGATTCATTGTGTCTGTGTGTTTTTTTCCCTCCTGAGTCTGGGCCCCCGGAGGCTTCCCCGGGGACTGGGCTCCCTTTCTCCAGAGGCCTTCGGGCTCCCGCTGACTGGGGTCCATTGTGAGCCAGTCAGCCTTTGCAGGATCCTGCAGGATCCTGCAGGATCCTGCAGGGTCCTGCGCCCGAACCTGGGCCAGTGCGCCCCTGGCTCTGCAGGATCCTGAAGCTCTGGCGCTCTGGCTGAACCCCCGCTTGCACTGACCCCCTCCTCGAGGCTCCCTACAGTCGGGGCGCTGAAGAAGGAACCCTTCTCGTTGGGGAGGGGCTCCGTGTTCCTTCAGTGTTTTACAGCTTGCCTGAGGTTTTCCTGAGGCTTTCGATGGGAAAATCGAAGTTTGACTTCTGGAAAAAAAAGGGGCCCCGTTCCGTATTTGGGGCTCCTTGGGTCAACGCCCCGACTGTAGTCGTCTTGTCCACCGGTGGCGGCCCAGGCGTCGGGGCCCCACGGCGCCGGAGAGAGCGGCCAGAGAGGCCTCGGAGCCGCGCCGTCCAACCCGGCCGGGCGGCGAGATCCACACGGCGTGCGTGTGCGCCGCCCCCTGCCAGGCCCGCGTGCACCCACCGACCCTGGGCCCAGGAGGGGCCTGGCAAGGGGCGGCGTGCACGATAAAAACCAGCTGCTTTTGGAGGTCTTCGTCGGAAGGGATCAGTGAGGATGAAGCCCCGTCGGAGGGCTGTCACGCCAGAGTGGGCCTCGGATTGAGCGGGATTGAGCCGGATAAAACAGGACTGCGCAGGACTATAAGCGGGATTGAGCGGGACTCGGCCGGATCTCGGACCAGGGAAGAATCAGAATCTGACCTCCCAGGAGTTGCATCCGAATGTGTGCACAGATCCGGTCGCTCGACCCAAAAACGAGAGCAACTAATGCTCACGTAGGCGACGACAAGAAGCGGATCTTACACGCGAAATATCGCAGCGGCATCACGCGGTGGCTCACGCGGGTCGCCAGCGCGGCACGCTTCATGGGAGACGAGGGCGCGTGTGCGCGACCCTGCGCAGAGCAGCTTGCGCGCCAGTGCCCGCGGAGACGACCCCCGTGCTCGCGCGTCGCCCACCATGAGCATTAGCTCTTGGATTGGAGGTCCGCGCGGACCTCTTGGATCGGCGCCGGACCCACCCTCCCTGGCGCGCGGAGCGCGCCAGCGGCGACGCCGAGGGCGCCGCCGGGGGACTCCAGCGCCGACCCGGGAAATCCACGCGAGGGCCTCCGAACGCTCATGTTCTTTGTCACTATGAAGGGGCCCTGGAACACACAAATAAAGACACACAAATAAAAATATTCCCCATATGTTCCTATATTTTCTGGGTTTCTGTCTTCCCCCCCACTTCCCATATTTTCTTATATTTTCTGGGGAATCGAGGATTGATTGTGTCTGTGTGTGTTCTTTTCCTCCTGACATTAGTGGTCCCCCAAGAACCCCCTTCCCCTCGCGGTAGCCTCTCCAAAACCATGGAGGCGACGTCCGTGTCGTGGCGGCCCTTGCCGCGCCCGTGGCCGTGCCCGTGCCCACCGCCGTGGCCGCCGCCACCGTGGCCGCCCCCGTGGCCGCTGTGCTCGTCCTCAGGGCCGCCGCCGTGGCCGCTGCCGTGGGCGTCGCCGTGGCCCTCGCCGTGCCCCTCCTCGCGGCCGGCGTCGTGGCCTGCCTGCGGCACCTCTTCCAGGGAGGCCACGAGGTTCACCTCGGCCGTCGTGGTCTGCTCGGTCAGGAGCTTGGCGCTGTCGAAGGCGTCGATCGCCAGAAGCTCGCCCAAAGGCACCGCTGCCGGATCCGTCCCCAGGCAGCACTCCCGGATGGGGACGAAGGCGTTGATGTCGCGGATGGTCTGCTTCGTCTCGTCGATGAGCTCCCTGCTGCAGACGTCAATCTTGTTAAGCAACAGTTTGTCCGCGAATCCAACCTGCTGCGCGGACTCGTTGACCGAGTCCTCACTGCGCTCGCGATTCAGCTGCGTCAAGAAATGCTTGCAGTCTACCACAGTGATCACGCCATCAATCTTGCAGTACTTCTTAACCACATCGTCCTTACTAAACGTATTGATGATAGGGCCTGGATCGGCCATACCTGTCGTCTCAATGAGGATGCCATCGAGCAGGGCGTCCTTGACGCCATCTGCGTACCTCTGCTCTACCTTGTCTACGATGTCCTTGATGGCCTGCACAAGGTCGTCTCGAACTGTGCAGCAAAGACACCCGTTGTCTAGCACCGAGATCGACTCGACTGTGTCACGCTTTCCGACTGCCTGGTCCAGAAGCTGGTTGTCGATGGCCACCGCGCCGAACTCGTTTTCGATAATTGCATATTTCTTACCGTGTTGGGCCGTTAGGATGTAGTTGAGCAGGGTAGTCTTGCCTGCGCCTAGGAAGCCAGTCAAAATGGTTACCGGGATCTGTCCGACCTGTAGCAAGCCTTTCACAGTCCTGATGCACCTATCATCGTCCAGAGGTGCGAAGATGGTCGGCCCGTGATCTAGCTTGATCTGATAAGGCACCCTCTTCGACTGTGGCCAACCGGGGTCATGCCACCAGTGAGCTACGACGGTGCCGGACTCCCACTGGCCCACGTTGCACTCCACGCGCGCGCCCACTGCGAACCTGAGAGGCTTGTCGGCGGACATCGCTTGTGACGTGCCTTGTTGCTTTCGCGCGTTTGCTTCGCGCTGGCACTGAAACAAACGCACCCCTGAGACTAATGAAATTCACCCCCTTAGCTCTTGCGCCAAAATGAATACGGTAGAAGCGAACGAGTACGACAACGAGAAAGATGAGAAAGAGATTGAGGGCAGGTGGCATTGAACCACGGCGACGTTGAGGAGGACGAGGAGAAGCTGGAGGCCGAGCAAGCGGAGGAATGGTAGGAGGAGAAGGGTGGACGCTCACGAGCAGAAGACGAAATTAGAAAATACGCGCAGGACCAAGCTGATGAGGCGCAGAAGGAGGGATGAAAGAGGCAGGAAGAATAGCCAGGAGTAGGGGAACGACGGCGAAGAGGCGAATGTTCAGATCGTTGGGAGGATGGTCTAGAGGCCTCTGGATCTAGAGAGGGGCTCGAGAAGCATGTTGCGCTTCTTGCCCCCCTCCTGCCTCCTCCTCCGGGGGGGCGCGCACAGGGGGGCAGGGGGAGGGGGGGGAAGGCTTCCTGGAAGGGGGCTGCTTCTTAGAAGGCGCCGGCTTCACCTGCACGGAGGAGGCCCGCGCCGTCTAAGAAGCAGGGGTGCTTCCGAGAAGCCGTCCCCCCTCCCTCTGCCCCCTCTGCGCGTGGCCGATCCTGCCTCCTCTTCTCATCGGCTGTCCTGCCTGCCTTTCCTCCCCCTGCCCCCTCTGAAGGGGCCCCAGGACACACAAATAAATACACAAATAAAAGTATTCCCCATGTTTTCCCATATTTTCTGGGTTTTTGTCTTCCCCCCCACCTCCCATATTTTCCCATATTTTCCTTGGAATCGACGAATAATTGTGTCTGTGTGTTTCTTTTCCTCCTGACCCTCCCCCTCCTGGCCACGAAAGAGAAGGGCCCTGATGGGAAACAGGTCCTGGGCTCAAGTCGGGCACGAAGAGAGAAGAGGAGACGATGCTTCGATTCTTTTGGGGTATTTAGAGGGCTTGTGTTGCTCATGTTTTATCTGTCGTCCGACCTATGCCTAGGCCCTGGGCTTCCCCCAATACCAACAACATCCATCCCGAGACGTGCTTGTGGCTCCCGGGACCTGTGGAGCGCACCTAGGGGGCCAAAATCGGCGAGAAACTCCCAGACGCCCCTGCCGCCTGGCACCGTTTCCTTCCTGCTGGTCTCCCTGCCTCCTTCCTAGTCTCATAATCCTCGAGGGCAGCGGCACACACCAAGCGCACGCACACACCAAGCACAAGCATTAGGTCGGGCATGTCCCCCTTCAGGCAGATTTCGGGCGAGAGAATAAAAACGAGGTTCAAGAATATGCAACAATAGTCAGACAAATACTCACCACACCGTCCCCATATTATGTTTTGCTATTGCTTGATATTTCTCCTATAGAGGGACAGGCCCGACTTAAGGCTGGACCAAGCACACACACTCACGCACACACACACACACACACACACACACACACACACACACACACACACACACACACACACACACACACACACACACACACACACGCACGCACGCACGCACGCACGCACGCACGCACGCACGCACACACACACACACACACACATACACACACACACACACACGCACACACACAAACACACATTCCGGGAGAGGCCCAGGTCGAGAGCGACGCGAGCGCGGCCAGGTGGCGTTTGCGTAGAAGCCCGGGGGCTCCTCCCGCTGGCCACGGGTCCGGGAGGAGGCGAGCGTGCTGCCAGTGTGCTGCACCAAGAACTGGCATCGGTGAGCGGGGCCAGTCTGAGGCTGAGCCTGAAGTCGGGCGTGTCCCCCTACAGGGGGATTTTGGACGAAAAATTAAAAACAGTCAAAAAATACAAACAGAATGCTCACACATTATCAGTACAAAATCTCGAGACCTCTGAACGTGCGCGGTCGTTCTGGAGGCCTCCGCCGGAAGCTTCCAGAGGCCCCCCGAAGACCCCCAGAGACATCTGGAGACCAGGCCTCCGTGGTTTCTTAATGGGGCAAGGTGATGCGATCCACCACGTGTCCTCCTCCTCCGCCTCCTCCTCCGCCTCCTCCTCCTCCATTTGTTCTGTTTTGGAAATACTAATTCTGTATGATTGCTAAAATGTTTCCTCCTCCTTCCCCTCCTCCTCCTCCTCCTCCTCCTCCTCCTCCTCCTCCTCCTCCTCCTCCTCCTCCTCCTCCTCCTCCTCCCCCTCTCAAAGGACGGCCAGTGGATCCAACGGCGGCCCTCCCACCCGGCCCAAGTCCGCTCAAAAAATCGGTCCCCGGACCCCTCCGGGGGTCCTCCTTGCGGGCAGTACGTATGTCCATATCCAGAGCGTCTTGGACTTTTTAGGAAGAGCACTGGATATGGATAAAATCAAGCCTCGTGGGGCCAGATTTTTATCCATATCCAGTGCGTCTACGGTTTCTGGGGAAGAGAGCCCAAGACTCCAAGACGCACTGGATGTGGATATAACTATTGCCCGCAATCCTGGCCACTTTTCGAATCGGATGCAGCCGTCGCGGCGAAAAGCCTCCAGGAGGCCAGAAGATGAAAACGCAGGGGAGGGCCGCTGTCCTGTTTTCGGGTGGCGAGTTCGGCTCTCAGGCGGCCGTTCGGGACCATTCTGGCATCCCCAGACCCCCGTGACGAAGCGCAGAGCATGGGAACCACCCCAGGGCCCGAAGACCTCCGAAAACCTTTCGAAACCACAAGAAGAACTTCCACACATTTTCCGTGACGACTGCGACTCCGACGGCGGCAACGCCGAGATCTCCTCGGCCCTGAAACTCGCGCCCGCCCTTGGCGTGGCCCCGTCGGGCGCGGGCAGCCCCATGCTGCCGCCGCCTCCATCCTCAGGTGCTCGCGAGGAGCTCCTGCGGGCGGGGCGCGGCGACGGCGACGCCAACGGTCATGACGACAAGACGACGGCCACGACGACGAAGAAGAAGAAAACGGCCATGACGACGACGACGACGACGACGACGACGACGACGACGACGACGACGACGACGACGACGACGACGACGACGACGACGACGACGACCACGACCACGACAACGACCACGACCACGACCACGACCACGACGACGACGACGACGGCCGCGACGACGACAACGACGACGACGGCCACGGCGACGCAGATGGAGGCGAAGACGGCGGCGGCAGCGGCAACGGCGCGGGCGACGACGGGCGGCGGCGGCGGCCGCCGAAGCCCACCGAAGGCCGCTGATTCGCGCCGACTGCCGCCGGTTGCCAGTGGTGGCCGCCGGCGCGTCCTGGCACGGCCCCCCGGCACCCTCGACGGGGAGCAGCCCCGCGACAGCGCCGCGACGGGCACGTTCAGCAGGCCGGCGGGCGCCGGGGGCGTGGCGGCGGCGTCCTCCGCGCGGTGGCACGCGCGCGCTGTCGCCCTAGACTCAACGCCGGTGTACAGTTCGCAGTGTGCTGCCAGCACGGCCCTGCGTGGGGCCTCCGAGGCAGCTGGTTGCGGAGGCGGGGAAGCGCTGCTGCAATCCCGCCCATGCCGCCTGTGCCAGACCGTGTAGGCAACTAGCTTGCTAGACGCTGATCCAGAACGACACTTGCCGCGCGCGAGTGCGGCACAGGGGAGGGCGCGGGAGGCGGACCTCGGGCGAGGGTCGAGGGTCGAAGTCCGAGGATCGAGGCACACCAAGTCTGAGAGGGCCACGGACTTGCCGAAAAACGTGGGGGCATTGCAGCGGTGGGCCCCGACGAGGGCAACGGCAGCACGTAAGCCCTCACCCACTGTGGCGCTTCGTGCCACTCGATCGCTGGACCTCGTCATGGCCACAGAGGTCCGAGGTCCGAGGTCCGATGGGGTCCCGTCACGACTCGACCACCGAGGCGCGCCAGCGCCCGACTGGGTCGCGCAAGGGCGCCCCCTCGAGCCGCGCAGGAACCCGAGGAGGAGGAGGAGGAGGAGGAGGAGGAGGAGGAGGAGGAGGAGGAGGAGGAGAAGGAGGAGGAGGAGGAGGAGGAGGAGGAGGAGGAGCAGCAGGACGAGTAGGAGGAGGAGGAGGAGGAGGAGGAGGAGCAGGACGAGGAGGAGGAGGAGGAGGAGGAGGAGGAGGAGGAGGACCTGTGGCCGATGGGCGCCTCCAGCCCCCACGCGCTGTGCCTCCCAGGCCGCCCCACGGCCCGATGCCGCCCCCAGGCCCTCGCTCCGAGCGCGCCCGCTGGGGCGGGCCGCCCTGCGAGCGACGAGGGGGGCGAACGGCGGGAGCGGCGGCGGCGGCGAGAGCCTCTGAGAGATTGTTTTGTTCGGCGGCCCGCAAGGAAAAGTCCAGAGGGCGTGTCAATCAACGGCAAAAGGGCGCGATGCCAGATAATTCGAGAGGGCCAGGCCACAAAAGGAGGAAGCCGCCAAGAGGGCGCCAACCCACGCACGTGCAACATGCAGAGCAGGACGACAGCGGCACCAGGCCAGAATATTAGGCCTCTGAGAGATCCGACGCCGCGGAAAAACATGCGGCACTTCTCTCTGTGGCACCGTTCGGGCTGGTGCGAGCTGCGATTCGGCGGCGAACCCAGAGGGGAAGTCAGAGGGAGCGGGCCTGCTCAGAAGGTCGGGAGGCCCCCAGCCTGCTGAGAAGTTGACGTAGACGGCTTCTCAGAGGCTAGAGAGTTTCTGAGAACCCCCCCGCCGCCTTCTGAGAAGACAGCGTGCCCCCCCTCGCTTCCCCACCGGGGCGCGCCGCCGCGTGGTCGTCCTGGGGCCCGAAAGCGGGCGAAACCGCCTGGTACACCGAAGCATTGCAACGCTCGAGCCCGAGTGCACCAGCAGTGGGATGCGCATGCTGCGGCCCGCGAGGGACTGCTCGGCACAGCCGCCGCCGAGCTCGGCTCGGCAGCTGCGCCGCCGCAAACCGCGCTGGAGCCCAGGGACGCCGCGGCGAGCCTTCCCGAGGCGCAGGCGGCCGCAAAGGGCGGCGCGGGCGGCAAGGCGCTGCGGCTGGGCCGCCCTCTGGCAACGGTGTGGAACAATTGCAACGCCCGCGCCTCTGGCTTCGAAGTCCGAAATGGATACGGAGAACACGAGCACGACCCCCAACAGCAAACGTTGCCCAAAACCGACAGCGGACTCTGCTGTGCAGCCCGCAGCCTCTCTAAAATGGGCTACATCCGCGGGGGCACCGAAAACGAGTCCTGTTCGGAATGAAGAAGAACTGGTTGCCCGTTCTTTCCGTGTCACTTCCAGTCGAAACAACCGGGCACCATCCGTGGCCCCGACGCACCCACCAAACGCACGAGGCGGCAACGAGGCGGCAACAAGGCGGCACCAACCAGGCACCAGCCCCAGCGCACGAGGTGGCAACGAGGCGGCACCAACCGGGCACCAGCCGAGGCCCCGACGCAGCCACCGAGCGCACGAGGCGGCAACGAGGCGGCACCAACCGAGCACCAGCCGAGGCCCCGACGCACCCACCGAGCGCACGGGGCGGCCACGAGACGGCACCAACCGAGCACCAGCCGAAGCCCCGGCGCACCCACCTGGGGCAACGAGGCGGCACCAACTGGGCCAACCGGGCCTCGGGATGAAAAACTGGTCCCAGAGAATGGGTCGAGACCTCTGGGGGTCGACGTTCTGACAAAGTCATGCTGCGTGACTCTGGGTCCAGCGCAGGCTACGGTTGGAAACTGTTGCTTCGCGAGTCGCGGCGGCGGCCCCGACGACGCGCCATGCCGTGCGAGCGGATAGTCTGTCGCTCCGTTCCGCCGGGCGGGAGGCTGGGACAGGCTCGGGACGTTGACGCCTGGGGACCAGGACGTGGATAGCGTGCCGAGCCGAAGCGTGGTGGGCCAGAACCGGCGGAGCGACACGCTATCCAACGCAGGCATTTACGCGCGCCCCGTCCTTCGCAGACGGCCACGTGCTTGGAGCCACGAACGCTCCAAGGGGCCCCGCCGCTTCCGATTCCTGCACCCACCGACAAGCAACGCCCGCAGCGACACCAACGCAGGCGCCAGCACTCGAGGCGCGGCGGGAGCGGAGGAGTGCGACAGGGCGGGCGGGCGGTGCGGGAGGGGGCAGCCTGGCGCGCGAGTGCGGCCTCGGCCCCGCCCCTTGTCGCAGCCCTCGGCAGCAGCGTCGTCCTCCTCGTTGCCCCCCCCCCTCCCCCTCCTCCTTCTCGTCTCCCGTCCGCACCATCGCCCTACAGATCCCCCTCCTGCCCCTCCTCCTCCTCCTCCTCCTCATCTTCCTCCTTCTCCTCTTCCTCCTCCTCCTCCTCCTGCTCCTCCTCCTCCTCCTCCGCCTCCTCCTCCTACTCCTTATCCTCCCATCGCCTCGCCCCACTCCCGACCCCAACTGCCCTCCTCCTCCTCGCCCCCGGCCCGCGCCGTCGCCCTCCGACTCCGGCAGCCCTGTCAGTCTCTTCGACCACTGTACCACACCCTCCGCCGCCCCAACCCCCTCTGGACGCCGAAGCCGAGCCCTGAACACCAAAAAGAAGAAAACGGCCGAGAGCCACCTGGACGAGCAACAAACACACCGACACAGCTACTCCTCGAACCTCTCCTGGGGTGCGAACCCAGCCGTGGCGACAAGGGCCTCCCAGGAGGGCCAAAACGACGAAAACGAGGGAAGGGCGGTGGCACTGGCATTCCTCCTCGGTGGGGTTGAAAATTGCCAAAAATCCTCCGCCGTTTGCTTTGTTGAAGGCGGTCTGTTAACGGGCGAAGAACGGTACAACATAAACTTTTCCGCCGTCGGGGACACCTGCCCCAGGGCGACTGGAAAGTTTATACCCTTACGGTGGCACCGTAGGGGTATAAACTTTCCAGCCGCCCAGGGGCAGGTGTCCCCGACGGCGAAAAAGTTTGTGTTATACCGTTCTGCGCTCGCTGAGCATGGGCACCCTTCCCTCCTCTGGTCATCAGTCTTTGGGCGCACGAGTTATCCGGGGTAACTCGGGTCCAGGGTAACTTGGGTTTGGATTCCCAGAAAAGGAACCCGAGTTAGCCCTGACCCGAGTTATCCCTGATGACTCGGGGCTCTGGACGCCCGAGTTATCCGGGGTAACTCGGGTCCGGGGTAACTCGGGTTTGGATTCCCGGAAAACGAACCCGAGTTATCCCTGACCCGAGTTACCCCTGATGATTCGGGGCTCTGAAGTCTGCGTCCGACCGACCAACCCCCTCCCCCCAGGCGCACGCGAGGTGCCCCGCAGACGCACACGCCCCGCGCCGCCCGCGGGGCGCGTCCTTCCAGGCGAGCCTGGGGCGCAAGGGCGAGGAGGGGCTCCTGAGCTCCTGGAGCGGGAGGCGGGGGGGGGGGGGGGAGGAGGGGGAGGGGGAGGAGGAGGAGGAGGAGGAGGAGGAGGAGGAGGAGGAGGAGGAGGAGGAAGAGGAGGAGGAGGAGGAGGAGGGGGCTCTCCACCTCCTCCACTCGCCTGCACGGCACGCAGGGGCGACTCTGGGCAGGAGTGCGCGCGCGCGGCTGCCGGCGGCCGCCGCGGGGCCAGACTCAAGCGCGCAGGTCAATGCTGAGGCCACCTTTCGGTCGGGCCTGTCCCCCTTCAGAGGGATTCCGGACGACAAATTAAAAATAGTTGTTTAACCAATACTCCAAACATGCAAAAACAAATACTTCAGAAATCGTCCTCGCACTTCGGAGGTCAATCGTGCCACAGGGCGGCCCCCAGACCGCCACTTGAGAATCCCCCGCTCTCAAAAAAACTACTCTGATGCCGCCACGCTGGTTCCGGGCAGGCTGTGCTGTCCGGCGGAAGGGGACGAGGAGGGGAGAAGCAGGCAGACGACGACGAACGCCCAGGCGGGAGGCCAGGGCCGGCGGGGCGGGCGGGCAGGCAGAAGACGGGCCAGGCGGAGACAGCAGGCAGGGAGCAGGAGGAAAGGAAAGGGAGGGAAGCAACGAGCAGAAGCGAAGGGAGGGGGAGGAGGGGGAGGAGGACAAGGAGGAGAGAAAGCAGCGGCCGCAAGCAGACAGGCCGGGCCAGGGGCCGGGAGAGAAGAGCCGCCCGCGACGAGGCTGCGGACCCTACGGCGGCGACCTGGGCGGGGTGGCCGCCCGAACCCAGCGCGATGCGGCTTGGTGGGGATTGCCCTCTGCGGGATCCATCCACCGCCCCGCCGGGGAAAGGCCGGGCGGCGCGTGGGAGGGGTCGCCGGCGCGACGTTGGCGAAAGGGCGAGGGGGGCGCCCGCGCTGCCCAGCAAGGGCGGGGGGGGGGGGGGCGGGGGGCGCTAGGCAGCGCAGGGGGCACCTCGCACGGCGTCTGCCGTGGAGGCCGCCGTGGCCGCGGCCAGGCGGGCCGCTGCCACCCCCGCCCCTCCAGACAGGGTCTGAAGGCGCCGCAACACCGCCCGCGCGTTCTCCCTGTGCAGGGAGACGGAAAGTCGCTGGGCATGTTGGTCCGCAACCAGTGCGGCGTCTTCCCCCGTGGCGTCAGCCACCCGCTTGGCCAGGACCCCGAAGGCCCTGCGTGCCTCGCGGCCCCACCCGCCGCCGTGGGCTTCCACCACCATGGGGAGGAAAGTGAAGCCCTGTGCCGCGCAGAGCCGCGCGGTGTCCTGGCGCTGCCTTTTGAACTCCTCGTACCGCTCCGTCGCTGCGCTTGACGAAGCGGCCGACGCGGCGAGGAGATCGGCGCGCAACCCTGACGTGGCGGCAAAGTCCCAGGCGGCCGCCGTGCCGTTGCGCCACCGCGGCAGGTAGACGTCGGCAGGGCGGCGGCCGTTGTCGTCCACCTGGGACCCGCCCTGCTCGCCCCCGGGGGTGGCCTCCCCGGCGGGGCGCGCGGGTAGCAGCCCCGGGCGCTCCAACTCCGCCCCGGCGTGGCCGGCGGCCAGGGCGTCGAAGAAGGCCTGGTTGCGCAGGGCGTTGTGGCGTTTGGTCCGGTCGCCGCGGCAGGCGCAGACCAGGGCGTGGTCGCAGAAAACGTCCATCACCTCGCCACAGGCTGGGCAGAAACACTCGTCCTGCAGGAGCTGGACTCGCAGCCGCCTCTGCAGGCCGACCTGCATGAGGCCGTGCGGGAAGGCGGTGCCGGTGGCCTCGCAGGGCGGCGCCTGAAGCCACGCGGCCGCGCCTGGGGCTTGCACCAGAGAGAGGTGCGCCTTGCCGGCCAGGGTGGAGCCCGCCAGAAGTCCGTCGAGCGAGGCGCTGTCCACCGAATCGGAGAGGGCCTTCTGGTTGCCTTGCTGCGCGTGGTCGAACACCACCCGGTCGGCGTCCCGCACGACTGCGTTGTGGGCCTGCACCGCAGCCGCCAGGCTACGTCCGTCGCGGTCGGGGTTGTTGGAGTAGCCGGGGTAGAACTGCCGACAGAGGTCGGTGCTATTATACTATTGTTGAATTATCCTCCTGTGGAGGGACAGGCCCGACTTAAGGCCACCCCTGTGGGCCCGCACCTGAGATCACCCCAGCGAAAGGCCACTCTCACGCGTAGGCGATCCTCCTGCTCCGTCCACCCCCCGTTGGTACAACCATACTACCACCTGTCATGACGGAGTCGACTACCATTCACGCCGCTCTCCTACCCCCTCCCTCCCGCCTCCCTCCCGAACCCCCCGACGTCATGTCTTTTCTTGTTTTCACAATGTCGACCTCCAGAAGCCCCGACCCCTTCCCTGGGACCGGCTTCCCATCGCGAGTCGTTTTGGTGACGGCCCCGAGGCCCGGCAAGAAAGATGTGGAGAGAGACCTTCCGTCGCGAACTCTGCCACGGCTCGAGAGGATCTGGGTCGTCCCTCCCTCCCCTCCTCCTCCCCGCCCGCCTGCTATCACCTCTCTTTGTTTTGTCGTCTCACCTCTTTTGTTTGTGTTCTCTCTATATTTCTCTCCCTCTCTCTTTCTTTCTTTCTTTCTTTCTCTCTCTCTCTCTCTTTTTCTCTCTCTCTCTCTCTCTCTCTCTCTCTCTCTCTCTCTCTCTCTCTCTCTCTCTCTATATATATATCACCTTCACCCAGCCCGAAACCAGGAGCCGCCTCTCTCTCTCTCTCTGTTTTCTCTCTCTCTCTCTCTCTCTCTCTATCCCTCCCTTTCACCTCCACATATATAGGCTTGGGGGCAGCCTGCAATCGTCGCAGGACAGACGCTGCCCCTCGGCTTTCGGGTCGTAGCCCGGCTCCCTGGCGGCCAGTGGGTACGCTCCGGCCCCCCCTCCCCCGGAACGCCGTCGGCGAGGCGCAGCTGCTGGGACGCGTCCCGAAGCCAGAAACACGCCAAGAGCCCTCGACATCGCCCGAAAACCTCGAGCTTCGAACCTCGAACTTCTGGGGCGATCCCGTGCCAGCGTCCGACCGACCTCCCCGCCCGCCCGCGCCGCCGCCGCCCGCCGCCGCTCGCGTCGCCGCCGCCCGCCGCCGCCGCCGCCCGCCCGCCCGCGCCGTCGCCGCCCGCCGCCGACCTCCCCGCCCGCCCGCGCCGCCGCCGACCTCCCCGCCCGCCCGCCCACGCCGCCGCCGCCGCGGCCCGCCCGCAGGCCCTCGCCGCCGCAGTCCCCGCAACGGCGGCGGTGGCGGAGGCGCCGCTCGGCTCCTCACGGCGCCTCGCCGCCTTGTCTCCTCGCCTCCTCCGCCTCCTCGCCCCCTCCTCGCTCCTCCTCGCTGCTCCTCGTCCCCGTCAGTCCCTGCTCCTCATCCCAATCATCCGCGTGCTCGTCCTCGTCGTCCTCTTCCTCCGCCTCCTCCTCCTTCTCCTCCTCCTCCTCCTCGTCCTCCTCGTCCTCCTCGTCCTCCTCGTCGTCCTCCTCCTCCTCCTCCTCCTCCTCCTCCTCCTCCCCTCCTCCTCCTCCCACCCTCCCTCCCTCCCTCCCTCCCTCCCTCCCTCCCTCCCGCAGCGGACACGTCCGCTGGCGCACTTTGATCGGGAGCCGGCGCAAACCTCCTAACCTAGGAGCGGTACACCGCTCAGCGGTGGCCGGCCCCAGGGAAGAGGTAAGAGGTGGTGCGCCAGCCAGGGCCTATAGAGCGGCATACAAGGGAGGCCGTGGATCGCCTCCAGCCCATCGTAGGCGCCCCGGTCGTGCGCCCCTCCGCTGCCGAGGCCGCAGGCGCCGCCGGTGGGGGCACCAGGGGCGTCCCAAGGCGCCGGAAAGGCCTCGTCAGCCTCACGATCACAACCCATGATTTGGTGATCGTGAGCCCCCGCGGGGCCGTCCGGGCCGCCAGGCGCGCCGCTCGTCCCGTGCCGCTCGCAGATGGCGACCCCCAGCGCTGCTGCCGCGCCCCCGGGGTGGCGCCACCCTCCCAGGCGCGAGCTGCCCTCTGAGGCTCCGCGGCCAAGCACCGGTCAGCCCCCACCTTCTCACCAAGCAGCCCCAGCGCGTAGTACCGTCTGCGCCTGGGCGCGCTGGAGTGCCATGGCGATGCGCCTGCAGGCGCGGCGCATCGCCACGGCACGTTGGTCTGGCGGGAGACCGCTGTGGAGCGCGCGCAGGAGGGCCACGCCAGCAGGCCCCATCATCCCGCCGCTCTCGAGCGCCAGCGGCACAAGCTCAGGGTGGGGGTAGCGACGGTGCTTCTCGCGCTCGAGCGCAGCCGCCAATCCGCAATGCCGGTCTGCAGCCGCGCGGGCGTTGGAGCCGCGGCCCTGCGGGTGGCCTGCCGTCACGTCGGCGTGTGGGCGTGCGGCCCCCAAGCAAGGCGAAACTGAGGTCCAACCTTGCCTCTCGCCCGTCCTGCGCCAACTCGGGCACCACCTGCTCCTCCTGCGGCGGCACCCCGAGCGCGTCCTCCGATACGCTGCTGAAGGCGCGCAGCACTCCTCCGCGTGTGCCAGGCCCCCCGCGCGCAACAGAGGGCATGGACTGCCTGGCGGTTGTGCTGCGCCTCGGCGTCGGGGGCTCCGGCCCGTGTGCAGGCGCTGCACGTGGCAGGCATGTTCAGCGGCAGGCCGAGGCGGACGTGAACAGCAGCAGCGAACGTCGTCTGGCATCAGTTCATCATCCTCGTCAGCCGGCAGCAGCCACGTACTCGCACCAGGGCCTACGCTCGAGAGGAGGAGCGCCCTGACTTCACGCGGGAGCTCCTGAAGCAGCGCGTCCTTCTCCAGCTCGGCAAGGGCACGCCCATGGCGACTCTGCAGGTGGGCCTGGGGCTGCGTGAGTCCGAGGCGCACGTCGTCCTGCACCGCCAGCCCCGCTCGCTCCAGCATCGCCGTCACCGCGTCCACTCTGGCCGCCAGCCGCGGTGCCCTCGTTCCGAGCTCCTCCAACGTGCTCGCATTGAGAGCCTTCGCCACGGCTGGCAGTGCGTCCACAGCGCTAGCCAGGAGCGCCGCCGGCGCGGTCCGCTTCGCGTCTGGAAGCCCCAAGCCGCCCTCACGCAACGGTAAGCGTGACCAGCGAAGGCGGGAGGGGTCCAGAGAAGCAGAGCCGCACAGGGCGGCCGTCGCAGCGGCCACTGGGGCGTCCAGCTGCGCCAGGGCGTGCTCTTCGGCCTGCAACGTGCGCATGTGGAAGTTCACATCTGCCGGCACGACCGTGCGGAGGAGGCAGACAGCCTGGTGCCTGCCCAGACCTGCCGGAGCCAGCTGCTGGAGGCGGTCGCAGGCGCGTCGGCGCCGGTCCAGTATACCTCTGCCATACCTGGCCTGCCGCCTCCGTCATGCCCGGGGCGCCCACGTCGAGGTGCACGCGGAAGACCTCCGGCTGCTGGAATCTTGCCACTGGGAGCCGCGACCGCGTGAGCGTCGTCTCGAACGCCAGCTCTGGCGCACCCTCGGGCTTCCAATAGGTGGTCTTCGACGCGTTCAGCTGGAGACCCGCCTCGGCGAAGGCCAGCGTCGCCGCTCTCACCGTGTCCGGGAAAGCGGCTGGGCGCGCCGCCACATCGAGGTCGTCCATGTAGGCGGTGAGCTGCCTAGGGACGCCGCCCGCCTGCAAGGTACCGTCTAGCGAGCGTACAGGAGCGTCAACCCCCAGCGCGAAGGGCAAGGCAGAGAGTGCACCGCCCTGTGGGACCCTGCATCCGACCTGCACCGGGACGTGAGCGCCGTCATCCGTCACCAGCAGGTGCTCCGAGTCGGCGGCCAGCAGGCGGCGCACGACCGGCGCCCACGCGGGCACCGTCGTGTCGAGGGCGCTCCCCAAGCAGTGCCTGTCCAGCTCGTTGAAGGCGTTGGAAAGGTCCAGGCTTAGCAAGCCCCAGTCCGCATTGGCCTGCAGTGCAGCCGCCGTCAAGTGAACCACGGTCTCTGCCCCGCCCGGCGTGCCTATCCCCATGCTGGAAGGGTGCCGTGTGCGCCCGCATTGTAGGTCCGAGGAGGAATTCGCCAGAGCCTTCTGCAGCTGGTCCGGCAAGGTGTTTTGGACAACCACAGCCCGCACCCCGCCTCCAGTCTTCTGCAGCGGGATCAACCGCCCGCGCGCCAAGGCTCGTTGTGCTCCGTGGGGCGCCCGCCCTTCGGCCAGCAGGATCGCCAGGGCACAGACCTTGTCCGCCCCTCCGGCGACTTCCAAGAGGGCCTTCCAGTGCTCGTAGCGTGAACCACCGAGGCAGGCTGCCACCCGGCGGGGCGTGTGGGCGAGGGCTTTGGCCACTGCTCCTTTCAAGGCGCCCGCCAACCTTTCCGGCAGCTGCTCAGGAGCAGGGGCGGGTAGTGCTCGATGTCCCTCTGTCGGGAAGAGAGCTTGATGTCCCTCCCTCCCTCCCTCCCTCCTCCTCCTCCCTCCCTCCCTCCCTCCCTCCCTCCCTTATTCCCCCCCCCTCCCTCCCTCCTTCCCTCCCTCCTCGCCTCCTCCTCGCTCCTCCTCGCTGCTCCTCGCTCCCTCCCTCCCCCCCCCTCCCTTTCCCCTCCCTCCCGCCCCCGCGACGCGGCACGCCAGGCGCCTCGCAGGTGACGCCCCGCGGGCGCCGCCAAAAGGCGCCTTGGGCGCAAGCGCCGGCAGGGCGTTCTTCGGCGTGGCCTCCTGTCGGCACACTTCCCTTCAGCCTCAGCCTCCGCTCTCCTCCCCGAGCTCTTCCATATCATCCACCTCCTCTTCGTCGTCGTCCTTGTCCGCTTCTTCCTCTTCCTCCTCCTCGTCCTCCTCCTCCTCCTCCTCCTCAGTATCATCCTCCTCATCATCACCATCACCATCGGCATCACCACCACCATCACCATCATCACAACGATCATCACCACCACCATCACCACCACCATCATCATCACCATCAGCAACATCATCATCAGCAGCATGAGCATGATCATGAGCATGAGCATCATCATCATCACCACCATCATCATCACCACCACCATCATCAGCAGCAGTATCATCATCGTCAGCAGCATCATGAGCATGCTCATGATCATGATCGTCATCATCGTCATCATCATCAGCAGCATCACCGCTAACATCATCGTCACCATCATAAACACCACCATCATCAGCAGCATCATGAGCATGAGCATGAGCATGATCATTATCATCGTCGTCACCACCACCGCCATCATCATTAGCATCAACATCAGCATCATCATCAACAGCATCATCATCAGCAGCATCATCACCCGCACCAGCATCAGCATCAGCAGCAGTAACAGCATCGCCGTCGTCACAATCACCGCCAACATCATAAATCACCATCAACAACACCACCATCAACCGCAAAGCCACCACCACAACCATCATCATCCTCATCCTCATCCTCCGCTTCATCCTCTTCATCATCACCCGCAGAAGAAGTACTGGTACGTAGCACCCCGCAATTGCGGATAAGAGTGAGGGGGCGGGCGCGGGCGACGCGGGCGTCGTCGAGCCGGCGGACCTCGTGGCCCCCACCTTCCCTGTCGATGGCGCTCTCCTCCTCCTCCTCCTCCTCCTCCTCCTCCGTCGATCTCGACGTGGGCACCCTAGGCACCCGCAGACTCGCCTAGCGCCGCTCACAGTACTACTAAAAGTTCGCGATAGCTTTACGGATGGAGGGCAGGCCGTTTTCAAACTGTGGCTCTCGCATCAGCGCCACAAACACTATTGCTAAGAATGTGCAACAGCTTCCCGGGTACAGAGCAGCTCATGTTCGAAATGTGGATGTCTCCTTAGCGCCGCGCGCATTGATCTTAATGGAACACTAGAATGTCAATGATTCGTACGGTCCAAATCCCAGGAATCGTGTTCCGGCACGGTTTAGGATTGTCTGAGAACGCGGCAGTCACACTGGCTCGCGGAGTTGAAGTCCCAAGAGTGGCGTTCTGGTACCATTTTAGCTTGTGCGGACTCAATAACTGCGTTAATCCGCGACATTTAAATCGCAACAGCTGCGTTTTGGCAGGATGGAAGATTCTCAGATAATTGTCTTCTAATGGGCCACCCCCCCCATGAAACAACCCCATTAGGGACCTACAGCCTACAGCCAAAAGTCTGATCAACAAGGCTGCTAAGAATCCTGGGCTATATTCCCAGACACTAGATAAAATAGACATGGGGCACATTATGTTGTTAGCTAGCGCTGGAGGGGGCGAACATGCACAAGAAACTGGAACAGCGTCTCGGCAATCTGGTTAAGAAACGATGGCCCAACTGTTCGGGAGGAGGTCTCTTAATTCGATGCTCGGCTGTCTGAAGAAGAACTTGGCGGGAGGGTTGATTGCAACATCGTTGCTGCAGATAGGGTTTACACTGGTCCTACCCCTCCTCTTCACCATCCCCTTCTTGCTGTGCGTGATCCTCTTCAAGTGACTGTTACTCGCGCTCTTACGGATAATTGTCTGACTCTTCTTTGCATCAATCGATGTGTTTGTTGTTCTGTCCCCCATGTCACTATTATTCCTCATATCATACCTCCTCCTCTTCCTCCTACTCTCCACCACCTCCCCCTCATCCTCCATACGTTTAGCTAACCCCGTCCTGTCGCACCCAAAGGCCGGTCGGAAGGGCGGGCTGGGCGCTGCGCGTGGGATGTCCTCGCCAGGTATGGTCCTGAAGCGGACAACTTGGCACAGATGGACGGCGGGCGGCTTTCAAGATGTGGCTCTCGCCTGAGCGCCGCGCACCTTCGTCCCAACAGACTGCAAGAGCCTCACGGATTGAGGGCGGGTCGTTTTCAAAATATGAATCCCGCCGTAGCGCCGCGCACATTCGTTAGCCAATAACTGCACGAGTTTTATGAATTAAGGGCGGTTCCTTGTCAACAAATGACTCTCCCACCAGCGCCGCGTAATCCGCTAAAACGCTGCAACCAGTTCACGAGTTTCGATGGCTAACATACCAGGAATGGCGTGGTGTGGCGGTTCAGGATTGTCAGGGGGCAACAAGTATGTTGACTTGCGGCCCTCAAATCCCAGGAAACAT